AGTTCGTGTCCGGTTCTTGTGTAAGCTCAAAGAGCCACTGCTCTTCTAGCTTTCCTTGGAGTACTGTCTTAAAGGCTTTATCATTGAGAGTGCTAAGCTTAAGCGGGGGGTCCTTCTCAGCTAGTCTCCCAGTGCATGGTAGACTAGTAAGGACTGGGAGGTGATCTGAGCCACACTCAAAGGCTAGGTTAACCTCTGAAGCTGCCCCTCTTTGATAGAGGCTACTAGAGCAAAAGGCTAGGTCCAGCGTATTTCCTAGGCTATTGTCCGTGCATCTTGAACACGACAGAAAGTAAGAAGCGTGGGCCAATAAACTCGCTGGTTGCGTCCTAGCAGGCTATTCTGGTTGGTAAATCCTCACCGGGCATTATACGCAGGCACAAAGTATGCTATTCCATATCAAAATATCTTCAAGCCAAGTCGAATTCGCAAAAGGCCATACATAAGAACTATTTCAAAGTTCTTGGACGCCCAAGCCCGCTAAGATCATAAATGCCTTGTGCGGAATACTCTACTTGGGCGCTGCTTCGCTTGTTGTCCTTATCGAGTTCACCTAGTATTTCTAACTATATATCATACACATAGATATTTTATATGCTTTTCCTACGATCTGTGATACTTTCACAGTTATTTGCTCATTCGCGTAACTTTTCCTTTCTTTGAGAGCAGACTTCGAGTTATAGCATAGCAATCCAAGGAAAGTAAGAATCTGGTCTTCGTGGAGAAACCTCCCATCAATAAAGGTTCCCGTGAGATACTTTAGTCACTTCGTTCAAGCCCCTGCTTATTCATGCTTGGAGTATTGGATTCTAGGGCTATATACGACGCCTACATAGACTAAGCTAAGATAGGCTAACACCCGAATTAATAGGATTTATGAACAAGAGCGCAAATTCAACCACATTAATGGATAGGCGAGTTTTAATGTACCACTAGAGGAGGGAAATTTCGGAATCATTTGCCAGGCTGCAATCGTGAACTACTTACTGTCCCTTACCTAAGCGAATGTTACATTAGTATACCTGCGTATAGAAACCTTTTGGTTGAAACCAAGCGGTGGTTACCTCTATTTGAACATCTTGGGGAAATAAACCCAACTATGGAATTGTCGCATGTTAACGAGAATCGGATTTTGGCAAGATTTCCACGTTCTTGCACCTCGCTTGTGGGAATGCCTGTATTAATTCCCCTTTTCTCTCCGCGACTTGATGTCTTTGGCGGTATATCCTGGGTCAAGGGAGGGGAGGAGTGCTTTCAGATATAGAATTGGTGAGACTGTGCAACATATTCCACATGATAGGGGTGCTCAGGCTCCGAAATAGGTGAGACCGCCTGGGTAATTAAGCCGAATACTACCGAAGGCCTAATTATTAGTCGTGATACTAATCAAAGTGTAATTTTTTTTCTAACGATAACGGTAAACAGCTGGATTCTCTGAACTAACTTCTGGTGCAGGAGTTGAGTAGCAAGGTAGTGGGAGAGGCTCCAAGTCTCCCATTTTCATTCATATGTGATCGTACCTAATTGTTTGTAGATTGAGTCTTTTGTAATTCGTTATAGCAATGCGTAGTTAGAGATGTAGTCGAGAGAAATTTGAAGCAATCAGTCATCTTCGATGGTGTCTGATTGCTTAAAGAGGAGGTAAAATAGCTACGCTCCTGGGGTACATGCCATATCATAGGTCACGTGAGTATGTCACGTGAGCGACGCGAGTTTGGCTTTCGATACGATCTGTTATTTGTGCGTTTGAATCTTTGTATAGTGGAAGATTCTTCCAGAAAAATTCCATTCGTGATATTCTCATTCGATGTATCGCAAGTTTGGTGGTTTCGTAGCGAAGTTCAGTTCGGTTTTACGCTGCCTCATTGGGGCAAAGACCTCATATAGAACTTGTATGTAGTAGTCTTTGAAGTCAGGTAAACTCGAATCCTCGAAGTAGTACTTGTATTTCTTGAATCTACGAATAAACCTAGCCAGAAAATTGTGTTATTGGTATATGGGCAAATAGCCGTTGAGTGTCCCACTCCCGTTGATGTACGAATTGCCTTTCTTCCGAAAATATTCCTCCTTCGCGATCGTGTTTTCAGGTAATTCCGGATACTCCTCGCGCTTGTGTTATGCCATCCTTTCGCAATGAGCACATTCCTTGGCACCTGTAGGATGAGCATCTCAAATTCATCACCCTCTCAGACTTCAAGTTGGCTTCTTTTTTTCCGGCGAAGAAAGCTCGAGCTCCTAGTGGCAATGTCACTTATTTTCACATAACAGTAAGATTTTTCTATTCTAAACTCAGTGCGTTGTATGGTCTTCGAATAGGGATGACACTCATATGACCCTTCCCAGATCATGAATGTACAATGCATGTCTGAGAGTGTTTTCATCTGATTAATGTTGCAAGATTAACGACATTCATCCCAAAACGTACTAGTAAATCAATGATAATATTTTTTCCAAGTACTCGTTTAAACTACCTTAACTCCGTTATTCTAATCCTCTTATTAAGTTCATCTTTTCTCTCTTAACAGTTATACACTCTTGTAATATTAGATATGGTTCGGAAAGAAGGCTTGTTTATATTCTAGCTATCTCCTCCACCGCCCGGCGTAACTCGAAAGTGGGTCAAGGACGTGCTAACCTAGGTGGAAAAACAACATATAGATTTGTACCAAGACTTACGACGTCTTCTAATATAGAGATGTTGAAAGAACAGCTTGTTCTAAGTTCTTTACCTAATCTTGATTCAGGTTCAGTATATGATTTCTTATAATATAAAGAGAGGTACTTATGTTTTACTAATCAAATAGAAATCCTATTAGAAAAATATAGTCACGTTATTAGTCCTGTGACTACCTAGATCTCCTTCCCAAATTTAGTACAATTGATAGCTTGGCATTGCCAAGATGTCAGAATCAACCTGTGATTATGCGTTAAAACAATTCTACGCGAGGGTGCTTAATCCTGGTCAAGAGTTACGCCGGGCGGTACAGGAGATAACCATACGATGTTACTAAGTACTAGAACCCTGTATATATAACGCGTATAAAGCGAATTCGTTAATTAACTACGATTAGCAAGGAAACAAGAAACCCTAGGTATAGTTCAAGGTAGGTTCACGTAATAGATTAGATAGATACAGCTTAATATAGGTACCCTCGCGTAAGAGTCCTTGTCCCGAGGACTAATAAGAAGACTAGATATATTTCTATCTACCGTCCTGTTCTAGGGGCGTGAAATAATAGCGCCTTTTAAGTGGAATAAACTATAGTATTAATATCTATTGTTCTATTAAAGTAGTAGAGATATCTACGTTACCCCTATAAAAATAACTTTGTCCTAAGGGCTTTAAATTTCTCGACACTTATAGCTCGATTACTAATCTCCTTACTAACTACTAATTTTATTTCCTCGAAACCTCTTCTATTAACCCGTAGAACTATTAGTGCTAATTAGATGTTTAAAACAATAAAAATATAGGAACTATAGTGCCTTATATTATATATCTGTGACAGTTTTTGATTTAGTGAATAAGGGTTCGCTTAGCGAAGTTGCGGGTGTACCCTTCCGTAGATAGACAAATACCTAAGGAGTGCGAAGAGCGTCTCTCTTCCCTCCTTGCGAACAATCTATTCCTTGATCCCCACCATAACAATATCCCTTCTAAAGTATTAAGATATATATTAAGATATAAAGAAACGTATACTTGAAGTTAAGTAAAGGTATCTATATTTATAACTGAATTCTCTCTTTAAATATATAATCTAAAGGTTTTTTATAAATACTTTAAATAGTAAGAAGAATATTAAAGGAATAATTATTTTTATAATAAATATTTCTATTTTCCAGTAATAAAATAATTTTAGTATAATAGCTTAGTAAAGATATTTTTTAGTTAAACTATATTATAATAGATTTTCTCCTTTTTTTCTAAAGCTAATACTTATAAGCTATATCTTCTAAAAGGTATTTTATAATATAAAGCTTTTAAGAATCTTACGCGAGAAATTAATTAAAAAATGTTAATACTATTATTATAAGTAACTTATACCAAAATAAATATATTTATTAAACCCTTTTAAAAAGTCTTTTTACTAAATAAACTATATAATAATAGAAATTTATACGTAAGTCTTTAGTAAATATATATTAAAAAGTTAAATTAGAATACTTAATTATCTATATAATAGTACAAAAGTTACGCGAGAAGAAAGGATTAATAGATAGAACTTACTATTATAAACTATTATATATTATCTTTTTATTCTATTTAATTTAGAAAACTATTTTCTTAATAGATATAAGAGATAATAGATAAAACCTTCTAGTTTAAATCATTATCTAGAAGAAAGTATTAAACTAGATAAATTATAAACTTAAGCTATTCTTATAAACTTACGCTAAAAGAAATAAACTTCTGAATATAGTTAATTAAAAGCTTTCTCTTTTATATAAAGATTAACTTTATTACCTGATACTATTTGAATACTAAAGATACCTCGAATAACAAGTAAATTTACAAGGTTCAAAGGTTTTTAAGTTCAGATTTTATGAAATCCCTATGTTTATAGTTGTAATCACTAATGACAATCAAATGAACATAAACATATCACATATAGCAAGTAATATCAAAGCAGGAAATTCATCTGCATTTCATTATAATTGTACAAATCATCATCTATCATCATTAAAAAAAGAATTATTCCTCCTTAAAAACTGCCTTGGAGGCACCAGAAAACACTTGCGAGCGGCATTCCCAACCACGAGCAGCACAGCGACCACAAGTGGGCTGCGCTTTGTCGCACTTATAATGGGTCTTCTTGCAATTTTCGCAGCTCTTAAACATAGAAACAGGTCCCCTCTTCTTCCCAACGCCATTCTTTGGTGGTGATGCCTTGGTGGGAGACTTGGTTGCGATACCACCCTTTCCATTTCGCCCCTGATGAATGAAGATGTTAGTTTTACTGATGAATATGAGGTGACAATGATCAAGCACGTACCTTGCGCTCTTTCTTTGCACGAGGCATATGCTCGTCATCGTCATCCTCGTCATCATCATCGTCATCGTCGTCGTCGTCGTCGGTCACCAAGGTGGCCCGAATTGCCTCCATTTGATCAAAATTTCCCAGCGCCACCTGGTACTCGTCCGGGAATCTGGTAGGAGCGCACAAAACCCTACCCTCCGCCAAGTCGTTCAACTCACCGCACGACTTCTTAACAAAATAATTGGTATTCTCCGAAAAAGAACACCAGCGAACCACAGCACGGAACAAGAGAGGATGGGTGCGAATTGTGGCGTGGATGGCCATAATAATTCGCTTAGCAACAGCGTGCTGTTGCGCGGGAAGGCCAGAGTTCTCGAGGGGATCCTCGCGTACAACTTCGAAATATGGGAGGGAGTTGTAGCGGGAAATGACCCGCATCACATCCCGAACGCCGTTGATATTACTGATATCCAAATTACGGATAACAGAGTGAGGATAACAGAAAGATTTTGCCCGAGGGCGGCCGACAGCAGGTCCTGCGATAGGCTCAGGAGAACCGGAGGCAGACATCTTCGATAATTAAGGTACTATATAATGTGTTAAAATTGTAATGGAATAGGGAATGGGAGATTTGGGGGTACAAACCTTGGTGTAAGGGGCACAAAAATAAGCGAAAAACCAAGCGTAATCGTGACGAAGGAAGGGGCTCAACGGCAGAAACGAGGCACGACACGAATATGAGAAGGCCTGAAAGCAATATTAGTACCGTAATGATAGAAGCGAGTAGGAGCAATTACGAACCTTTTGAGGAAGAGAAACGGGGAAGTGGTGGTGCCTTTACCTGATTGTGGCGGGCCAGAAGAACAGACAGCAAAGTAACGGCAACGACAACCCGCGAGACCTAGATTCTGATATCTCGGAGGGGAAATTAGTATCGCAATTGATATATCAAAAGATGTGAGGACCAACCGTTCAACGCGAGGAGAGCGAAACGTGGGAGAGGATTCGAAGACGCGGGCGAGGTTCAACAATTTCTGGGAGCGCGACGGCGACAACAATAACTAGAAGAGCAGGAAAATTAGCCTGGATATCCGGCGCAAGAAGAGATGAAAAGGTCCTGGTGCTCTTTGAGCAACGGGTTCAATTGACCTTGCGGTTTGCTGCTGGGAGAATTGAGAGTGTCCTTAGCAACCACGCGATCCGAGTGAACTGCGAGCTTGAGAGTTTGAAGAGCAACAAAGAAATGAAGAGAAAGGCGCAGAGTACTTACAGGAGCCAATTGATCAATGGGAAACAGAAGGGAACGTCTGGGAGCTAGGCGCACTGGTTTGGGTGATTGTGGCGGGGTGGCTGCTGGTGGACGTGGAAATGGAAGAAGACAAGCAGGACAGAAAACTTTGTTGACGCCAAAATGGAAGATTTTGTGCGTGAATTCTTTGACAAGGCACGAGTTTGTGGCCTGGCGTAGATCGGATAGAGGTGGTGGCCAATCGGCTTACGGCACTCAAAGGCTAGCAGGCGACCAGCCGTTAGGGTAACCCAAGTGACAAGGAACATAACGGGATTTGAGGTCCTGACGGTCTAGTTTACCTATTTGGCACTTAACCCTCTAGATGCGTGCTGGATTGTTACAAAACTCTGAAGTGTTAACAATAAAGGTTTGCTTACCATTTTCGCGCAAGGGTTGAAAGAGATAGACAGAGGCTATAAACGATCTCTCTCTTGTAACTCAGCAGTACATAAGCAGAAGAGAAAAAGTTTTAATACTCTTTGTGGATGACCATTGCAAATTCAGTCCCATAAGCAACCAAGCGTTGTGTTCAAGAAACGATGCATTTGACTAAGACATGGTTGGAAAGTATTGCTAGTTTTGGTAGCTAGCCGCTGAAATTGATGATAGCTGTGAACTACAACCACGTCCGCAATTAGTTTAATTATCCAATAAAAGTGACGTTATGCTGAATTTCTCTTCAAAATCTTTAGACACATCTTGTGTTTGCGTTTCCCTCTTCCTCAAGACACCCCTTTGTATATATGTCCCGCTACTAAAACACAAGATTCTACTGTCTACTTTCTATAAAGAATCACAATGGAATTAATAAAGTTTCCCAAACAAAAGCAAGGGTACAAATCTAGAATGAGGCTCAAAATGAGGAAGTGGCAGGAGCTGCGAGTTGGTCACGTGCATCGCCCCTTTTTCTTGGTGTCGCGTAAAATCTCGGCATGGCATTTTGATTCCACCAGCATTTCAGGAGAAATATTTTGTAGCAAAACATTTCAGAATTATATTCAGTATCCTTCAATCTTAATACTGCTTCTTATTTATACCAATCGAACCCAAATTATATTTACTAAGTGTAGAACAACACTAATGCGTTGATATTGCTTGGTACACGAGCCTCCGGGAATCTTATGACCTGAAATTTGAAATTATTTTACTACTTCAATCCTCTAGAAATACACTTTTTGATTGCGCAGACGCCATGCCCCATCTCCCGCGCTAGGAGAGAAACCACCACCCTGGCCAACCATCCACCCCTCGAACAAACCTTCAGTGTTCAATAAATCAAAAAGGGGTTCCATTAACTTATCCACCAGCATTCCTTCGGAAGTGCTTTGTTCAAACTACCAACCTAAAATTTTGCACCATAATTTCGAGCAGGGTACTCCTTACGAGTATCAGCAAGATCCCCCAAGGCACCCATTAACCCGTAAACATCCGCAGCGCAAAATAACATGCTCTTTCCCTTGGACATAATCTCCTTGGCCTCTGGTGTACCAAAAGCAAGTCCTGAAGCTGGTTTATTGTGTTTTGCAAGTGCTGCTTCATAGATCTTGACTCCCTCGAGCCACTCTGGTTCTTTGCCATAAAGGCCACCGCCTGGTAAGTTCATGCTAATTCGGGCATCCAATGAACCAAGCCAGACGCTATCGATTTGGTCGCCGCATTCGGTAAGAATGGCATCGAGGTTGCGCATGCCAGCGAGAGATTCAATTTGAATGATGATTGCGGCTTGCGTGTTGAGGTTCTCGTGTAGGGTCATCGAGGTATTGAGAGGTTGGTCGGAAAGGCCCGGGAACCTGCATAGAGATCACTTAGTACCATAGACTTAAACTTTGTAGCTTTAACTTTGAGATACACGCTTGAACGAGACTCTTACCAGCGGCATGGAGGTGCAGACCGAGTACCGTTGATCTTGGCTCCAAACTTGGCGGCGGAGACAATATGTTTTGCTTGTTCAACAGTCTCGACTTGTGGGACGACAATACTGGCCCCAGCATCCAGAGCAAAGCCAATAGCAGCATGGTCATGACCAGGTACCCTATTTCAATTTGTATTCAACCAAAAATATATCAGCACGCGGCGACATACCGAACAATAGCTGCGCTCTTGCCTTCGCTCATGAATTGAATATCGTATACAATCTGGAAGAGCTTGTCAGAATCTTCCTTAGTTTTCATCAAACATGCTGGCAATTACCTGTGTCATAGTTTCAACATTCATAGCCGAGTGTTCCCAATCAACCCAGACCACATCGTATCCAAATTGGGCTACAAGTTTCGAGATTGGAGGAGATGCCAAACCCATGTAGTACCCTACGATTGGTGGAATCTTTCCATCATGGGCGTCCTTGATCGCTTCGCGCAAACGGTGGGGCTGCAAAAGGGAAGGAGCTCTATAAGCTGCCATACCTTGACGGGCAAAGTCTGCGGCCGATACTGGCTTGGGAGTAGGTTCTGACGAAAGGGATCCCATAGTGATCGATGAACAATGCTATTGGAAGGTAATAAAATCTGCGGATACTTGGTAAAGTTTTGATTGTTGCGGAAGACTGGTGAAGCAATGTAAAGTTGTCAAGTCCAATTCCTTCGAGGGAAAACCAGCATTTATATACTGAGGTTCACTAACGCATCAAGGGACTCACACGTGAATTTGACGTGTACAAGCTTCCGGTTGTACAGCGTTCATGTTGTAACCGACAATTAGTGCTGACTGTGAGTAGAGATTTGTGGCGGTGGGTCCACATTGGCGAATAATTCATAGGTACCTACCAACACAATTCCCCGCTTCGTAATTGTTGGTTTGATCACAGACATAAATGTGCAACCTGATCCTGGAACCTTAATTAGCAGACATCCAATGGAAATGGATCAATATTACTGGAAAGTTCTAGATATTCAAATCATTAACTACTTTGCGCCGTTACAAACATATTAAAGGTATCCATGATGGTAAAGTAAAATTGGTAGATTATACAGAGCAAATATCGGATGATGAGTAAATCAGATGCGTCTTCATGTGAGGTTTTCTTTCATCAATTTTACATAATCACTGGTACCTTCAGTACTTTATCCTAAACTGGCAAAAGGTCTTTCTGAAAGCTGAAATTACCAAACGAGACTACGGATGGATATCTGAAAATAGAATAACCTACTAAACATGGCTGACTAATGTACACTAAATTCGACTTATTTCGGCAGTCGTTATCCTGTCCCACTTGCCACTACTGTAAGTCTAATTCAACTTCATGTCTTTAGGCCTGAAGTAAAATTACACACTGCGGAGGCGAAAGTGCTTAGAAATTGGGCTTTCCATGATGAACGATGAAATGTCAAGTTGTTCTCTCGTCGTATCTCATACATACAGTACAAAATCCGATGCTCCGAAATCGTGTCGGAGACATGTGGTGCTACATCCGAGGCATGGATTTAACTAGCCATCGTTGCGACCATCCGCAATCCAGCCTTGTGGGTTGACTTATACGATAAAATGTAGCTTCAGAATTAGCATTAAGATTAATTTGACCCCACTTTCTAGGTAAGCCGTAAGCCCTTACTGTACCCATCTAAGTATGCTTTCCGTCATCTCAAAGTTATGCCAAGCAATGCACTTCAAATGCTACTTTACTGTAACCTCTAAAAGTCCAACGTCATATGTTTGTATAGTAATATAACCATACAAATTGTCTTATGTTCTACACTGTACATAAGCTTGCCCCCAGATTTCATGGAGATACAATAACTGCGTAGCCTTGCCTTAACGCCGTCAACATGGGCTAATATGCACTGTCAGAAGCGAATGGGACCCTAGATCCGACACTGATACCTTAGTGCTTATGCACCCGGTTCTCCGAGATTACAGTAGCTACAGAAACCTAGTGGTGCTTTGATTTAGTGATCAATCACCTTGGGTTGTTTCTATAAATATGGGAATGGCCTGGTGGCAACGACAAATACTCGGCGGCGACATGCAGATTTCTTGTGTATCACGGAGTATATCTTCCTGATTTCGTAAGATTTGAAATTTCTGGGTGAGATAGAAAAGTCACGACACACGACTTGTATAGTTGAAACTTGTGCAAGGCTTTCTCAAATGACTATGAGCCTATAAATATCGATACACATCGACGGAAATACAGAGCTGTCGCGATACTCGCGTCCCGAAGTTTAAAGGGAAGGTCATATAATATTCTCTAAGATAACTGTATAAATGTGTCTATATGATATTAGCTAATACTATAGCACTGTTTTAGAACCATAAGAATTTGTGCTAATAATGTTATACTGATCTGCATCACTTTACTCACGTAGTAAAACCAACAAGGCCATTTACATACGTCGTGCCAAAGCCATATATTCTCACAAGGTACTGAAACAGAACAGGAAAGGTTTATAGTCTCAATCGATAAAAGCTTGACCTCAGTTCACGAATAATTTTTAGCCCAACTTTGCAAAACAATTTACATGTCATTGCGGAGATTTAAAATTAGAGAAGAACCATATCATATTCCCGTTTCCCTCAACACTTTCAGACTTGGAGATGTGCTTAAATTTTGGATAAAAAGCGTCTCAGTCGTCCTGATCGTTTACCTAAAGCTCGTCTGATGAAGACTGGTGCTTCACAGTGTTACGTGACAAAACACGATGTTCGTGAATATGATGCTAGAATCAGGTGTATTGGTCACCAGATTGTAAAAGCAAACAACCTGTCGAGATGTAGTCAGATCTTTCCAATACCGCCAGTTTCAAAGAAACAGCCCAGCAAGAATATTGAATTACTTACGGGCTATTACACTGGCAGCGCCGGCTTCAATAATCCCCATAGCACTTTCGAGCCCACAATGTCCCAATAGAGGCCTTGTGCAGCACAAGAGATGAATTTGTCAAGCTCCAAGGGTCATTTAGCGCAGGCTATCCCTCAATTCCGAATGATTCTCGCGTGTCTCCAGGATAAAAGTCACTTTCATGAAATGAGTCTTATATCTTGACGACGAGTTGCTTACGAGTCAAAAATCAAGTACCCTGAAATAGACGGGCACCACTGAATTATCCATAATCTCTCCAAAAGATCTTGAATATCGCTCAACATAAATATCAGGAACACTGAGGCAGTAACTATGCGCCAAATGGCTTTCGGATATTGACGGTACATTCAGGTCCTGGGTGGAAAGGAGGCCGGTCACGTGAAATTGTCTAAGACAGTACGGCACACACTTCCATAAATTTAGCTACAACACCACAATCTTTTAGACCCCTTACGAAATATAACCAGAAGATGTTATACCGTATCTCTTCACTTCGTTAGTGATACCAACAGGTATGAAAGTTGTGGGTTCACCGGTCCATGTTTAAAGAAAGTTGATCAGCGTGGGGGTTTCGCTCTTCTATAAGACATCAAATTGAACCAAGCCTTGGCCCGATCAAGTGTGATGTGTTATGCTGGAGACCCGCGCAAGGAACTTAGATCAACTGGCGTATCCTTTGTATAAAACCTGAGCCTCTGCCTGAAATTTCTCCTTTGGGGCATCTTCCAGCTGCTGACGGATTTCATTTTACTACTTGAAAGAAAAGAAATTGGTTGCAATAGAGACTTTATACAATGTTTTCCTAAAAAGTTTTGCCATATACAGCAAAATGTACGGAATCCCCTCACCAAAGGCTCAGATACATGACCAGTAGATTCCAGAAGCACGGTGAAGATATAATGAAAGTAAGCTATCATAAGTTACCACTGAAGGACGCTGCCATACGCTCGTTGCGTTAGCACCACCTTCGCTCACCTAAATCCTTTGATAATTCCGACACGCGAACATTTCACATGAGCCAAAAGCCTGTCATAGAGAGCATTTCCACGTATTCTAGAACCAAGGATCATCACTCAATGCTGTCGACATTATCTTAGTACCAGTCTTCGTAGCTGGTCTTTCGGGTTTGGGGGGATAATTCGCTTAGCGGCACTCCCGTATGTCGGAGCATATATATATGTATAGAATTCGGTAAAATGAACCTTGCGACTTCCCCCCACCCATCTTTTGCTGGAAGGATATGCACGTCACAGTAATGAGAAGACTCGTTGGTAGTGCTCGCCTGAGCACTTCCCAGATAGGGGAAGGAATAATCCCTCGACGACGAAGAAGTATAGCCGGCAATATTCATCTCAGCAGGCTCAAAGCGAGGTGGTATATAGTTACCCGTCGCTAGGATTTTGTGATGTTGGACAAAACCACTTTACTAAGAGCTCGCTTGTAATATGGGACTATAGATGGAACTACCTGTTGAAGCTTAACGATCTGCAACAAAGGTAGTGAGTCTGAATAGAGAGCTTTTGACAAAGGTTCCCCCGAGATCTGACGATATACAACGAGAATAGTAGATTAGAACACGTAGAATGAGGATTATATAACAACTCTTTAAGACTTTTCTTCTAGACTTTGCGATGTGCAACAAAGTTGAGTACTAACTATACTATATTCTTTTTTTCAAGTAGAAAAGATGGTAGAAGGCTCTACAAACAACCTGAATATATTCTTTCGTTTGTTCTTTTTTGTAAATATCAAGGATAGAGGCTTCTTACGTGAATACCTAGATTATTTAGTTAAAGACTTCAGGTTATGATTATCAAATAGTAGTCTAAAGTATCTTTATTGTATGAGGTCTTTTGAGAAACAAAAACACTTTACTGTTAGATACGCTTCTTTATATTATAACTACTTTGTGTCATATCTACATGCGAAAATACATAGACAAAGCAAAAGTCACAGTGTGGAGAATTGCAGCTTAAGGGCAGCTTGCAATTTAATGCTTGCTGCTGTGGGCCTATTCTTGCTTTGTGTGAGGATTAGTTGGTTGCTACCCACAACAATAATTGTCGCTAAGCACTCAATATTTCAGTGTACCTAGTTGCGTTCCAATTTCTCTTCCACACCACCATAACAACCACAAATCAGCTCCCATCACCACCACCAGTACCACCACCACCATGGAAGGAAACTCCAGCGCCAATATGGTACAAACACATATTTTCTCCCCCCTCAATAACACCGATATCAACGCCTGTCGACGGCTCCTACGCGGGATTCACTACCGCCTCGTCAGTTACTACTTTGATCCAGCCCACCCAGACGAAGCAGCACTCTCGTTTCAAGAGTCCGCGATCGTGACGACCATCATGACTTCCATCTGTGCCAATCCAGAGGAGGGGCTTCTTCTACACGCGATTCTGGCGTTGGTTGAGCAAGAGCGTCGGGAGCCAGAGAAGGATGATCGGCTCCTTTTGATGATGCGTTATGTGGGTGATCTCGCGCCGGAAGATCATCTTTTGTACCCCAGAGCCTATATTGGGGAGTTTGAGAAGGCGAGGAAGAATTATTGGGGACCAGAGGGGTTGGGGAGAGTGTTTCGTTTTAGGAGGGAGGATTTGGCTTTGCTTGTGAGTTCTGTTTTTGTTTACTTCTGAGGGCAAAATTTGTACCACTCCAGTACTTGGAGATATTTATTTCATGTCGTCAACTATTGTATAGCTCTTACTACTGGAGTGACTAACATTTGTTCAGGCACCTGCTGCTCTCTTCCCGCTAAGCAAATATAACACCTTAATCAATGGCAGAAAGGTGGTGGGAGCTGCTTCAGTGGTAGCGAAGCTCCCAGCCAACCAGGAAGAGGCGATACAATCAATTGAGAAAGACGAAGCTGTTTCAGAGAAGACTAGCTTATATTTCAAGAACACAAACCTCGATGATATGGCCCGCAAATACCAAACCTCCCCCGCCAACTCATCCCAACACCCTGTCTCAAAGCTCGCACGAAAATCACCAAGCTCCGATTCCCTCAGCTCCCTCTCCTCAACATCCGATCCCTTCCTAGCCGGCACATGGATCCACGAAATCCCTCACACCCAAGCGAGAGAATACAAGGAAAGCGAAAACGACGCCGACTCGGAATACAACAGCGATTTCAGCTTTCCAACTCCAGATTCGTCCATAGCCGAGGAGGAATTCCATTACGAGCGAATGAGCGATGTGGATTTGGATGCTTACTATGCGAGAGAGATTCAGCGACAGAATCGTGAGAGTCCGGGGAGTGTTCCGATTCCGTGCCCTTATAATAGTCCTGAGCTGGGTTATGGGATGATTTTTGTTCCTTGTAATACGCCTGAGTCGGGGTTTCTGAGTGCGGAGGCAGAGGGGGAGGAAGGTATCCATGCGTGATCTGTGGTTTTATGTGCTTGGAAGAGAAATGGAGGGAATTCTTTTATGGTTGGTCATACGATGTCAGCGCAGCACTGGCTTCACCTGCTGGCATTAGTCCCGGTATTTCTTGATGTTTTCTCGAGGCGAATAAGCATCTTTCAATGGATGGATGGATGGATGGATGGAAGGGTGGACTATAATGGTGCAGTTGAATACATAACTGGTTTTACATTCATACATTGTGGGATCACATTATGTAAGGGAAGGGAACAACAATTACTATTGTAGAACCTCCGATTTGAACTGGGAGAAAATGGGATACTTGTCATGTATCTACGGATGAAATGAACAGGTATGAATACAATGTTGACTTTAATGAATGCATCGTCATATTTTGCTCATTCTTCTTGTGAAGCTGCGAAGGGATGAAGTGATAGAGAATTCTCTACTGATCGTGTACTGTAACGTGAATTGAATTACTTGATAATTCTAATATTTGGACTAATTAAAACACTCAACCCAGAAGTCTAGGATACTTAGATTCACTGTTCTACAACATCTCACAAATTGACTTACGCTAATAAAAGGCAGGAGAATCCCTGCTAGTTTCTTGTCTACCGAGAGACGTTATCCTGGTATACAAAATGTACTCGAGTAGATCGAGTGTTTGGAATCTTGAGAAAGGAAGCAGATAACTTGATCTAAGAGCCGAAGTAACTAGATCTGATTATTTCATTATCTATATATGGGTGGTTAGCATACTTTACCAGAAGCTCGTTCTGCCTTTTGAGTACATATCAAATAAGTTCATGATTGAGGGCTTACTAATTATGGTGACGCTTCCTTGAGCATCAAGCGAGATACAAAATGAAACTAATTCCAGCTGATTAAAAGGATACAATCGGAGAGATTCATTGTCCTTTCAAGGCCTTCGGAAGATTCCAAGTTGGATGCTACCAACATAATCCTGGTCTCGTGACGGCAATGAAGTGAAATAAATCGCTTTATTGTTCCAAACATGTAAAATAATAACCCACTATTGTCTGAGCGATTCTGAAAGACAGTACATACATGGCACCATTGACTTGACTCCTTAACCCGCTTGGTACCGTAGGAAGGTAGGACAGATGTTGGTGGTGCGGGCGGGGTGGCGCCTTCCTCGTGGTCACGAGGAAGCGAGCAAGCTGATGTCATCGAACAGACGCGTCTCGCAACGCAACGCAAAGATGCGAAGCTTGAACCTTGCTCAGAGAGCCTCACCTTCATTTTTGAACACAACTCTATCCAGACATCAATTCCAAACATCAATTCCAAACATCAATTGATCAATTCTCTACAATATCCTTCCCACCACACTCGATCTCTGTTTCCGCCCTGCCTGATCCGCTGGAGGAGGCAAACACATGCCTGTCGAAGCAAACACTTACGAAAAAAAGGTCCGTATACTTTCTTTTTCCCAGCTGTTTTTGGCCACCATTTGAAGGTGAAGCTCCCAATTCACCAACGCAAATACCCCTCTTCCATTGTCTTCCCACCCCTCATTCAGGTTTCCAGCCTCCCCTTTTTCCGTCAAACTTGGACCATATAACACTCCCCCTCCCTCCTACAAACAACATCTTCTCCATCCACTTTACTAAATCACCAACCATAGAAACCACTTCTACATACCAACCAAAAAGCGCAAACATGGCAGGCAAACGCGGATCTACAAAGTCCTCCTCTCCAGTTTGCCCAGGTGCTCCAAAGATGACCAAGAACACAACGAAGAAGCGATCTGCCGCAGAAGTTAGCAGCTCAAGCTCACCTGCCAACGACGGTCAACCGAAGAAGAAGCGCGGCCGCCCTTCAAAGGCTGACTTGCTTGCTCGTCAACAATCTTCTGAGAATGGCAATGGCGGTGGTGCGGACGATACTCAAGACAAGGCTGAGGATCAGATGGAGGGTGTCGTGAAGGAGTCTATTAAGGAAGTTGACAACGTCAAAGGCGATGCCAATGGAGCTGATTCACCTGCAGATACACCAAAGAAGAAGCGTGGTCGTCCTTCTAAGGCTGATTTGCTTGCCCGTCAACAGTCTTTAGAGGAGAGTACTACTAGTGAAAGCAAGAAGGAGGGAAGTGTTAAGGATGGCGAGAAGGAGAATGGAGAGAAGGATGGCGAGAAGGAGAATGGAGAGAAGGCTGCTGAAGATGGTGATAAGATGACTGGTGTTGAAAATGAGGCCAATGGTCATGCTAATGGTTCTCACAATGGTGATGAGGCTGGCAAGCCAGAGGAACATACTAATGGTACCAATGGTAAGTTGGAAGGTGAAGCTCACGAAGAGAAGAACGCATTTGACTTGGTCAAATCAGGTCTCAATGATGAAAATCTCAAGACAAAGGAAAAGTCTTCAGCTCCAAGCCAAGAACCTAAGGCTCCTACAGCTATTCCCTCCGTTGAGCACGCTACGGAAGTGAAGGAAAACACTGAGCCAAAGGAAGAGACGACCCCTCAAGGCGAAACTGCAGTCAAAGACTTCGCCCGCCAAGAAGAAATCTCATCCTCGATTTTGGAGAAGGGTATCATCTACTTCTTCTTCCGCTCGCGCGTCAACGTTGATGAGCCACAAGGTATCGAAGATGTAGCCCGTAGCTATGTCGTTCTTCGACCTCTTCCCCTTGGCGCAAAGATTAGCGAGGGTACACTTGCCGATGATGGAAATGCACGACTTCTTGCTCTTCCAAAGAAGAAGTTGCCGGAGGGTGGCAAGGATCGCTTCTTGGTTTTCGTTGAGAAGAAGGGTGTTACTGTTAAGGAATTGAGAGAGCAGTTATCTGGTGATGAGTATGCTAACAAGACTCAGGGGTATGTATTCAAATACTTTTCATTTCCGTTTTCAATTCAGATCTAATTATTGTCTTCAGAACCACCAACGTCCAACCCGCAACCCCCTTCGCAGAAGGAATCTACGCCATCACCTCCACAACTCGTGAATCCCACCTCGCATACCACATCACAGTCCCGGAAAAGGTTGGCGAGATCCAAAATGAGCTCGGCCTCAAGCAAAAAGGCAGTTTCGTCGTCTCCGCCAAGAATCCCGAGACAGGAAACGGCAACGTCGGACTTGAGAACCCAGCTAAGTACCCTGAGGATCTTCAAACGAAATTCCGTGGTTTGCGATGGATGCCCCTCATTCCCGAGCTGTTGGAGTATGAAAACACCCAGTTTTTGGTCATTGGTGAAGCGGCGGGAAATATGGATAAGGCACTTGAAGAGATGAAGAAGGATGAGAAGGATGAGACGAAGGAAAAGCCTGAGGAGGAGGTTGAGAAGCTTGTTGAGGAGGTTAGTTGTCCCCTATCACATCCACATTTCGCTTCCCAGGAATTCTTACGAATGAAAACTGATGGCAATAATGCAGGATCACGACCGAATCGCCAGTCTCGAAGAGGATGACCCCATCTTCGCGGATTTGGGACTCAGTGCTGGTGAGCACAACCACTTGACTTCGACATGGTAAATCTCCATCAAGCTCTTGAACACCTGGTTTTCTGGCGTTTGGCTTGCTTATGGAAAACGGGGAGTACGAAAAACTTTGCATATTATCTTTTTCTTCCCAAGATGGGTTGGGGTGATACTTGCTGGCTTGCTTTTACACCGGCGTTGAAATACAATACTTGATCGCGCAAGCGTAAAATAAGAATGAAATGTATGGATGGATGGTGGGTGAGCTTTTTGTCTATAGGACAGTGGACTGGAAACTTCATTACGGGCAGGATTGATTCATGAGTAGATGATAGGATGGTTGGTGCTTTGCATATGCACTATTAGGATAGTTACTAAAAGACTACGAATTCATTTGATTTTACATTGATTGTGTGTTCCTGCTTGTGGTTACGGTGCGACTGTGAAAAATAATTATATAAGATTAGAAGTGGTTTATTAGCTGAACTGGATGCCCGATAGTGATTATGACAGTAACGACCATATAGAGTAGCCATGCCGAGAGCCTATATCAGGAATCTATGGAACAGGTCCCGAGGGACTCTCTGACTGAAACTATTTTGTTCTCGTTAATGGAAACACAAATGTGGGATGTTTACTACTGTTTAACATAGGTAAGAGAGGCGGGCGTTACATCAATTATACAAATATTTTAGAACAATTGTTACTTTTCAATTCTTATTGTGCCAGGTTGAATAGGACAATTAAGTTACTTGTGCTAGACTTTTGACATAATAACTTTTGATAGCGTGTACAGAGCAATGCCCGCCTCTCTTACATACAATGGTTTTATTTCTGTGAATTTGCGACGCTTTTATATAAGACAAACTTCAAAAGATATGATTAATTAGATGGAATCAAAGTAATAAAATCATCGAATCTTCGTTGAAATCAGTAGCGTAGGTCTTCTCGGTCCCTGGTTAGATAGATTCTATTAATTTCACTTGAGTAAAGAAATGAAGTGAGACGGGAGAGGGATTTTAGGTAGTATTTGTATTTCTCTTTAATAAAGTAGATGGCTCTTCAAAAAACCCTGGTTTAACCGTAAGCTCCTCCTATAATTAACCCTAGTCTATACTAAGATCCTGAAGTTTGAATCTCTGAAGTCGTAGGTATAGCGAAGGGGTGTATACAGCTTCCACTAGACTTCCAACAGGCGTTCGTTATTCACGCCATCCCTTGTAATATCTACAACTTTTGTAATAATACCGGGGTAGTAAGTCTTCTAGCCTCTCCATGAACCAGTTAACCAAACGCTTAACACGTTGCGCCCTTATCATCATATCATCACATCCCCAAATCACATCTGGCCCAGATTTGTGATATACTCCAGCCCACACTACTAACCCCAACCAGAGCTGGAGCCGTTACCTTGCTATTAGGTCCGCCAACCATCTTAGGTGTAGTGATAAGATGATTCCAAGCCCACTCAAATTGTTAGTTTCACTAATCAAGTAAAGCGATACGGTATAACATCTTTGGTTAATATTCTTATCGCTTCACTTGGTTAGAGAAACCAACACTGATCAGTGATCGATCAATTAATTCCCAAGATTGTCGAACTCGACTCTCATTCTATGACGAGACCACCCCCGATCACCTTTCCTTCTTCCTTTCGAGCCCCGCGATGTCTTTGAATAGCTATCCAGCTACACAAACCTCCGACTAACAATGCTGCTGGATGACAGTAATCCATCTGCCACCACAGAAACAACATGTAACGAATACTCAAACTGGCTAACTAAACTTGGCTGGGTGTTCGCTGGTTGGTATGCTATGATAAGAAGAAGACT